TTTTTTTTTTTTTTTTTTCACGGATTTCAGTTCGGTTGCGAAAGTTGTTTTCGACCGCCGCGGGGGTTGCACCGCATTGGCCGCTGGAAAGAATTAGCATCTCACGATCCAACTGCGTCTTTGTTGTTCGATCGTTTGTCCAGAATCAATTGGCCGTTCGTTAGGTGCACTGGCGTTCTGATCGTGGCGTTTGTTCTATCTGCTCTGGTCTCTTTTCTCGTTTTGGCTGCGTTTCGTTTTCACGCGGTGTTCGGTTATAATGACTCGTTGAGAAAAGAGTGACTGGAAGAAGTTGCGTTGGGTTGGTTAGTTCCTGTGTGATGTTTGAGATGTGCTGTTTTGTCGAGGCACCGTATTTTGGTAAATTGAATGTCGATAATGTGTTCAGTAGGCATGTGTGTGCTGAGTAGATTTGTCATTGAAAGAACTTGATAGGAACAGAAGCAAATGAATGTGACACTATGCTACTTTTAGCAAATGGAATTAATCATATTCTAGCTAATCTTCAATGTTATCTGTTTTACGGTGTATTCTGTTTGAATATTAGAACATATATTCGCTAAACTTTATAAATTTTCCAAACGCCGTAATGAAATTACGGGGATTGAATACCTACCTTGAATAGCCAGTTGATTTCGGACAAAACAGATGGAGTTACTTGATTCGTTTATTTGCAATTTAAAAAGAAATGTTGACGAACGTAGACAAGGTCTATTCTTTTGAGAGACAAAAATTTGTTTGTCTCGTTCAAATCGCTGACCGCATAATTACAATCGATCGGACCATTCGTGAAAAATTAAACGACCAAGTAATAGCGTGCGATAACTACAATGATCGACACTGGAATTAGGGGTAAGTAGCGTCGATTGCATCTACCTTTCCTTTGCGACTCTTCTTCTCGCGTATTAAGTCGGCGGACCATCCATAACGAAATAAAAAGTCAAACGAGAAACGATTCTTAGAACAGACTTACGTACTTACCACTTTGTTCATGCATGAAACTGGTATCTCTGCCGAGCACCTTCTCCTTCTTTCGCCACTTTGCGCGACGATTTTGAAACCAGACCTGCAATCATTTAATTCGTCGTTTGAAATTTCGTTTCTTAGAACATTCTCTTTGACAATTTATTTAATTTTCTCATTTACTGCTACCTGAAGAATAACTATTACGTAGAAATGAATATCTTTTGAAATTTAAACTGGAAAAGGTGAATGAAACGTTCTTTCTGAAACGTTCTTATCAACGATTTAAATCTTGAATCAGGCAAACCTCGTTACAAATACGATTCGGGTATCTGCTAAATCAAAACCATAATCTGCTCGCCAAGTGTGGCATGGACTTGGCGAGGTCGATAAAACGAACGGAGACTGTACAAATTTATCTTACTTAAATTTCTATTCGGAAATAGTTGCCACGTGACTGATCATTATTCCAGACCGGAGACAAAGGGACAGCCTGACTGGCGTAAAACCATCGAATTATTTCTTGGAAGAAAATACGCGCGAGCGACGCATGAGAACCCCAGGCGGCCGTATCAGAACCAGCCAACAAAAGCTTGCTCTCGAGGTTGATTAAGCTAATTGTTAACAATTATCCTGATTTCCTCCGTACCCCTGAGTGGCAGCAACCCCTGCCCTCGCACCTCGCCGCCCCTTCGAAAACCCCCGGCGCACCGTTACCGCCTGGCCCCGTTGCCATATAAATGCTTTCGCTTTCCGCCTGGGCTGCTCTGATTTTTCGTGGCCACCGGCAGACCCCGCGAGAAACAGACGAAGAGAACGAGGGAGAGATTACATTTTACATCCTGTCTCCATTGTGCGGAAAATCCCCGTGCTTTTCAGTCGACCACGTTCGTCGCCGTCGATCCGACGATACAGCTAGATCGTCCGATGACACTTCTAA